TATTATAGAGATGAGGTCTCGCCAAGTTGCCCAGGCGGGTCTCAAACCCGCAGGCTTAGGCAATCCACTCACCTCAGCCTCCCAAAGGCACAGGATTACAGGCTGAGCCGCTGAACCCGGCAGTATTCAACATTTTTAATATAATTTTTATTTTGGCACTCAATGTTCTGCTTTATGCCACCACTTAACCATTTCATGTCCTTCTCATTAATCCTTGACAGTGCACATCTCCCCAGATTTAGGACATCATTCTGCAAAGAGCTGAATTAATTAATTGATAATTCTCAACTCTTACGCAGAAAATTCAAGAAGAATGTCTTATTCTAACTTAAATTTCAAGAACAATGTCTTATTCTAGCTTATGCTAACTCAGTCAGCACCCATTTATTCTCCCCTTGCAAGTAGATATAATGAAGTCAACTTCAACTGTGCCACTAGATCACAAAATGAGAGAATGCCAAAGTTGGAAATCATTTTAGATATAGATTAGTCCAGTGATTCTCAACCCTGGACACACACAAGAATCACCTGAGCAGCTTTTTAAAAATAATGGCCGGGCGCAGTAGTTCACACCTATAATCCCAACACTTTGGGAGGTCAAGGTGAGAGAACTGCCTGAGCCCACGGGTTCAAGACCAGCCTGGGCAATTTGGTGAGACCACATCACCACAATAAATCAAAAAATTAGCCAGGCATGATGGTGCATGCCTGTAGTTCCAGCTACTTGGAAGGCTGAGGCAGAAGGCTAGCCTGAACTCAGCAAGTCGAGGCTGCGGTGGCGTGAGCGTGCCACTGCACTTCAACCCAGGTGACAGAGTGAGACTCCAACTATATATATAAAATGATGTTTGGGCTCCACCCCTTAGATATTATTCTATTTAGTCTAGGTCAAGACATTTTTTAAAAGCCCCCACCCCCACACCCCCGGCTGGGCACAATGGCTCAGCCCATAATCCCATCACTTTGAGAGGCCGAGACAAGAGGATCGCCTGAGCCTGGGGGTTCGAGGCCAGCCTAGGCAACTTGTTGAGACCTTGTCTCTACAATAAATCACAAAATCTAACCAGGCATGGTGACACAGGTCTGTGGTTCCTGCTACTTGGAAGGCTGAGGTGGAAGGATCGCCTAAGGTCAAGGTCAAGGTTGCAGTGGCTGTGAGTGTGCCACTGCAGTTCAGCCTGAGTGACAAGAATGAGACTCCAACTCAAAAAAGAAAGCCTCCCCCATGTTTAGCCAGAGTTGAGAACCACTAATCTAACTCATTCCCTTTATTTCACAAAGGGATCACTAGAATCGAGTGGGTTAGCAACTTGTCCCAAAGTCATCCAGAATGTTAGTGTAAGGTGCACCAAGAGAGACTGTACCGAGCAAGATTTTGTTGCCGAAATTTATAATTTTTCTCGTTGGAGTTCAACCCGGAAGCATTTCTTTCAACTTCGGAGAGAAGTTATATATAAATTATCTTTAACTCTGGCAGCAGCACTTAGGCTTCTGCTAGCACTGAAATGGGTTCGCATTCTCTGACCACAAAAAGGACAGAGATGGAATTGTACCTCCACCACACGCAGCTCGCCAAATGAGCCCAGCTCCCGAGGAGGCCGCTGGAAGCGCCTAAAATGCTTCTCTACAAGGACCTCCCTGAGCTCAGGGAACTAGGTGCGGCGGTCAGAAGAAAGAGGCTGGAAGAGGGGACAGCGTTCTCTCCTAGAGGAAAGGAGCTGGGGATCAGCTGAGAACCGGCCAGGACTGCCAGGAGGTAAGGCGAGGGAAGGAAAAGAATTTCAATGAGTCCAGAGAGCCTCTGCTCCCCCCAACAACCAAACCGCCTGGCAACACAACACCCACCCTCCCGGGAACCTGAGACCCAAGGCAAAAAGAGCACTGCAAAAAGAGCACTGCAAAAAATCTTCTTCCTCTTCTCTTTAATAAATCTACCTTCTTGACTCATGACAAAAATTTTTTTTTAATTTTTTTAATCTTCTTCCAAAACTCTCCAAAAAGCGAACTACCAATGAAAAAAAGAACTCCCCTGCCCCCTCCACCCCAGCCCTCCACCTCCCTTTCCCGCCGGGATGTCCACTGTAGACACCCAAATCTCAAAGAGGGCGGTTCCCGTCACGTGACCCGGCGGTCACGTGACCCCGGCCCGCGGGAGCGGCGGCGCGCGTTCCAGCTTCGGGAACCGGAGGGCCCCGGCGAGGCCAGCCCCCAGCCCGACGCCACCATGCTGTCCCGCCTGCTGAAAGAACACCAGGCCAAGCAGAACGAACGCAAGGAGCTGCAGGGTGAGCCGAATATCCCGCCGGCCGTTTTCTCTACGGCCGCGGCCTAGCTGCAGCCCGGAGCCCGGGCCTCGAGTACCTGCCCAGCTCCGGGGAAGGGCGCCGGCTAGTGGGCAGCGGGCACGGGGGAGGGGCCGCTAGGGGCGGTCTTTTTGGAAATTTGGCTCTGGTCCCTTTGGCAGCGCTCCTGGCCCCTCGACACCGCCCGCAGTCCCCCCGGCGGCGTCCGAGCCCGCCCCCGCTCGCGGGGCGCTGCGCCCGCTGGCCTGGGGAGCCTCTCGTCCTGCTAGTCGGAAGGCGCTCCCCGAAGGGAGGGCGTTGGGAACCGCCCAGAGACGGGGTTCTCGGAGGCCTGAAGCCTCCGGAACGAAGGCGGGCCGCTGTTTCCCCGAGGCCGGGCTGGGAGTCCCGGAGTCGCCGATCCTCCGGCCAGGATACTGGGTAAAGAGTGCCTGGGGGTCAGGAGTGCTGGGCGCTGCCACCGACTCCTTGGCGGCCCTGAGCCTCCTCCCCTCTCAGGGTACCAGGTTCCTCGTCGCTTTATGTTTTGCCAGGTCCTTTTCAGCTCGGGCATTCTGAGTTTAGTTGAGACGTGCGGGCACCTAGCTACATAGCGCTGAGTGGGTGGGGAACCTGTGATACCACCCCTCGGTAAACCAGGTGTCCACTCCAATCCCTTCTTCCCCTCTCTCAGAGAAGAGGAGACGAGAGGCTATCACTGCGGCGACCTGCCTGACAGAAGCTTTGGTGGACCACCTCAATGTGGGGTACGAACCTCCTCCCATCAACACCAGTCTTCTCCTCCCCCACCCCGGCCAAGTTCAGGCCCTGGCAAGTCCAGCCCCAAGACCGCTCTTGAAGAGGTGGAATGTGCCACTCGTTTCTCAATCCCACCCACCTCCCCCCCCTCTTTATTGGCGAGAGGTTGAGTCAGCTCTGACCCCAGCATGGGGCGAAGGAAGAACAGCTGCAGTGGAGGGGGAAGCAGCCCTATTCTCCCCTCCCCACATTAGCTTCCCTGGTGCCTATAACTTGATGCCATCTGCCCGCCTCCCTTTACCCTTCCAAGTCCAGCTGTCACTTCAGCGGGAGAGAGAGCACCCTTTCACCACAGCTTACCACCCCTCTCCTTCTCCACCTCCCACCCTCTGGCAAGCCTGGGAGCAGCTGGCAGGAAAGAGATGGCACAGCTGGTGGTGGTGAGGGTAGAACCCTGCCAGGAACTATGGCAGAGCCAGGCTCTTCCCTTCCTTCTGGGGCCCCAGGGACCACCCCTTGCCCCAGTCCTAAATGTGCATGACAGTAACACCAAAGACTTGGGAAGGAGCAGAGAACATTGTCTCTTGACCCTGAGTGACCCAGAAGAGTGCAGAGATGGTGACTGGGTAGTCGTCTGTTGGAAGAAAGGAGGCAGTATGATGCCTTCCTCCCGGGGCAAGTAGAGTGGCCTGACAGGAATCCAGAGACTGAGTCACCCAAGTGAGCCATGCAGGGGCTGGGGTCATCATTACTCATCTCGGCAGGTGATTAGGGGAAAAGTCTGTGGTCGTGGCCTCTGATCACCCTTCCAGGCAGCTCTCCTCACCCGGGGTCATTACAGAAGCAGGTGGTCAGAAGAGAAAACTGGGATTTGGGGAACTCCCGGGGAGTCTTCAGCTCCCATCCCACCCTCTAGGGGAACCCAGCTGTCTCCCAGAAAGAAGAGATGGGGTCCACCCCCTTTCTTCCCTCCCATAGGGGCACCTCCTAGGCTCCGCTGTGCCAATCATTTCGAGGTTGGCCTGGGCTTCCCCTCTTCTCTTCCCTTGCTCAAGGCCACCCCGCTTGCAGCTTAGAGGCAGCTAAGCCAAAGCCAGATTAGAAAGGGTTTTGTGTTGCTGCCCACGGCTCCTCTCATTCCCCGGAAAGGAAAACAAAGGCTCCGTCTATCTCAGCCCCTGTCAGGTGTCCTGCCCACTCTCTCGACCCCCTTCAACCCCTTGCCCCCTCCAGCCTCCACACATTCCAGCGGGTGGGGTCACCGGATGTGGAATCTCTTGGCTGACGAGAGCTTTGGGGTGGCAAGTGAGAAATTCACCAACCAATGAAGGAGAACAATTATAGCAGGAGTGGAGGGGGGCAGCAGAACATTGGAGGGTTGGGGCCACCACCAACCCCCTGGTCATGATGGCAGCTACAGCCAGTACTTTGAGGAGAAGAGAGAAACTACTGCCTAGGGCAGAAAGAGGGCGTGTGTGTGTGTTCGTTCATCTGTGTAGGCGAACGAGAAGGGTTGGGAGTGAGACTGAGTGCCAAGGAGAAACCCCTGGGATGTCCTCTCTCGACCCAGGGTTCCTAGGGAGTGGGTCTGCTCTCCCATCCCACCCCAGATTCAGGGAGAGGCCCGATTTCCCTTTCCAACTTGCACCAGTCCCTGGGCTTCCAATCACTGCCAGATGTGTCCTGCTGCTGGGTTTTCCCAGTTTTTCTATGCCCCCCCCCACATTAACCCTCCCTTCCACCACCCAGCTGCAGGAACTCCTTTTGGGAGCTGGAGACGGTATGTTTCTAGTCAACTCCCAGCTCGACCCTTTCCCGGGAATCCTGGGAGAGCCGAGTTCATTTGCATGCACTGGAGTCATTTGCAGCACATCCAGAAATGGCCAAAATCCGAGGCTCTCCCAGCCCTGACTCCTGGCTGATCTCCCACTGGCGCAGTGGAGCATTAGTCCTGGAGACCACCCCCCATTCACTGGGTGAGCTGATCTCTTCCCTCCGACCCCAGCGTGGCCCAGGCCTACATGAACCAGAGAAAGCTGGACCACGAGGTGAAGACCCTGCAGGTCCAGGCTGCCCAATTTGCCAAGCAGACG